AAAAAAAAAAAAAAATGGCTGTAAGAAACTCCAACGCTAAAAAGGCGAACCACAAAAAAATGTGTTCGTACAATGAGGTTAGATAAGAAGGTTCATATTATTGATTCTCATAAACCAAACTGACCTTCATAAGGCGAGAAAGATCACATGGGGAAAAAAGGGTGTGTTCCTTCAATGTGATTAGAGCTAGATATCAGCCATAGGATAACATAGATGTGAGATCCCACATTGGTTGGAGAGAAAAACGAAGCATTCCTTACAAGGGTGTGGAAACCTCTATCTAGTAGACACGTTTTAAAATCGTGAGGCTGAAGGTGATACGTAACGAGCCAAAGCGAATAATATCTACTAGCGGTGGACTTTGGCTGTTACAAATGGTATTAGAGCCAGACACCGAGTGGTGTGTCAGCAAGGACGCTGGGCCCCTAAGGGGGGTGGATTGTGAGATCCCACATCGGTTGGAGGGGGAACAAAACATTCCTTGTAAGGGTGTGGAAACCTCTCCCTAGCAAACACGTTTTAGAGACTGACGGCGATGCGTAACGGGCCAAAGCAAATAATATTTGCTAGCGGTGGACTTGGGCTGTTACAATGTATAATTAAGTGAATCCTATCCCAATGTAATTTGGTTAGTTACATCAATATATCACCATATGAAACCAAGTCGGTGAGTAACTCGGTTTACTCAATAACTTCTGAAGAATCATTGTAAGCACAGACAAATCGAAGAGACTACTTCCAGCCAAGGATACCGACCTTAACAGCTAATCCCAAAAAAAATATATACACCCACCCGAACAGAACTAATGACAAACTAATCAGGGGTCTAACACATTGAAATTGTTTTAATCCATAAAGTTTTAAAACAAGAACATAAGAAACTAACTTTTAAATGTTTACAATGGTTGAATAAAGAAACGAAGTAAAGAAAAATGAATAGAGTAATTCTACAACTGCTAAGACGCAAAAGCCTATTCTCTGAAGCACTATAAATTGAGGGTCAGTAACACAATAGGAAGCATTTTACAATAAACAATTTCTGTCCGAAAACACTTACCCCAAATTCCGCATCCACGAAATCCATCAGCTGAATCTTTGCCCAGTCCAAGATCAAGCATTGTGAGATCCCTCGTTGGTTGGAGAAGGGAACAAAGCATTCCTTATAAGGGTGTGAAAACCTCTCCCAAGCACACGTATTTTAAAACCGTGAGGTTGACGACGATACATAACAAGTCAAAGCGGACAATATCAGCTAGCGGCAGGCTTAGGTGGTTACGAACATGGATCATCGCTCTGAGGAGGATGCCTCCAAGGTGCACCAAAGCGTAATCTATCTTCTGAAACCAATCCATTCATTAGTTTCCTTGCCCTGTCCAAGTACTATAAATCTCAAACGCTCAAGTTATCAGATAGAGGTTGCTCCACTCCTTAAAATTTTGTTTTGATTATTAAGCACCAGCAAACGATAGTACAGAACTTTCATATTAGAATCACAATATCACATTAAACTACCACTAATCTCTACCAAATTTTTCATCAACACCAAGAACCTAAAATATTAGGCAAGGTTAACTTATTCATTTGTAAAACAATTCTCATTTCTATGCCTAGTAGACACAAGGCAAATGAAGAGGTGTACGAACTTGGAGTAATAGCATGCAATTCATCTCCCTTTCATCTTTTCTCCTTATTCAGACACTGATATTGATTAAACTACATCAGCATTCAAACTATGTTCAATATGTTTACCTGAAAATGATCAATTTCAGCAGCCTGTGACAGCAACTCTATCAGCAAACAAGGCCAATCGGTACAGGAATGTGCCAATGACGGCGAAAAACCACGCGTCCGATTCAAATCAGCAATGGCATTAGCTCGCCAGACTTGCCGAACTTTGATCGCCCCCTTGGAGGCCAGCGTTACGACCCGAACAACCTCGGCGGCATTTCAACAAGCAGATAGAGCAAGAACTGCTTGATCCACGTTACCGCGCTTGGCTCTCTGCGCGAGACAAACACTTTTCGGCCCAGACGGCCCAATAAGAAAGGCCCATTTGGAGTTCCGTGGTCTTCTCCGCGTGACCATCGCATTTTCTCTTTCAACCGTCAAGTTTCTTTCGGACTTTCTCTCTCTACTCCGAAGCTTTCTTTTCTGGCTATCTCTTCTTCGTTGATTGTGTTTTTGATTCCGCCAGCAGACCCTTTCTTTTCTGTAATTGTTTCTGTCAGAGTCCCTTTCGATTTTCCCTTTTCCTTTCCCACCAAGCAACCCTTCCAGCTCTTTCTCTCATGTTCTCTCCTTCTCCCCCTTCTTTCACAGCTTTCTAGGGTTCATTCCCCATCAATTTCTCCGTCGTAAATGCCTCCGATCACCGCCGGAACCCTCATTCCGCCGCCGTCTACCTCCTCTTCACAACCCCTTCTCGACCTCATCATTCAGATTGTTTCGCTTCTGCTTCTTTCTTCTCTCAATGTCCGGTCATTCGTTGGGCGATGGCAGGTTCTTCATTCCAAGCTCTCCACACTCCACTCTGCTCTTCTCGAAGTCTCCGATTCGCCTCACTGGTCCGAGAATCCCCTTGTTCATACTATCCTCCCATCGCTACTCTCCACGCTTCAGCGGCTCAAATCCTTGTCCGATCAATGCTCCGACTCGGCCTTCTCCGGTGGGAAGCTTCATATGCAGAGTGATTTGGATATGGCCTCTGCTTCTCTCTCTAGTCAACTCAACGACCTCGATTTGTTGCTTAGATCTGGGGTTCTTTACCAGTCCAACGCGCTAGTACTGTCTCAGCCGGTTCCTGGTTCGAATAAAGACGATACGGAGTTTTTCATTAGGGATCTCTTCACGCGGTTGCAAATCGGAGGGGTGGAGTTTAAGAAGAAGGCTCTGGAGTCTCTGGTTCAGCTTCTGAATCAGGATGAGAAGTCTGCGGGTTTGGTTGCTAAAGAGGGAAACGTTGGGTATTTGATTCATTTGCTTGATTTCAGCTCTCAGCCCTCTGTGCGAGAGCTTGCGGCTTCTGCGGTTTCAGTTCTCTCAACGGCGAGCGATGAATCGAGGAAAAGAGTGTTCGAAGAAGGAGGATTAGGGTCTCTGTTGAGGATTCTTGAAACAGGATCGATGCATCTCAAGGAAAAAGCCGCCGCCGCCGTCGAATCCATCACCATCGATACTGAAAACGCTTGGGCCGTTTCCGCTTACGGAGGCTTATCGGTCTTAATCGAAGCCTGCCGATCGGGCACTCCACAGCTGCAGGCTACGGCAGTCGGTGCGATTAGAAATGTGACGGTGGTGGAAGATATCAAAACATCTCTCGTCGAGGAAGGGGCGATTCCAGTATTATTACAGTTGCTAGTTTCGAGCCCGACGGACACGCAGGAGAAGGCAGCAATGTCCATAGCAGTATTAGCCTCCTCCGGTGAGTATTTCCGATCACGGATAATCCAAGAACGAGGATTACAAAAATTATTACAATTGATCCACGATTCACCAAGTTTCAACACGATTGAAAACCCATTACGAGCCCTAAGTTCGCTCGCGGTTTCCGATCCAATCGCTCGGATTCTATCATCTTCAACATTGTTCATAATGAAACTGGGCGAATTGATAAAGCACGGAAGTTTAGTGCTGCAGCAAATCGCCGCCTCTCTGGTCGCCAATTTATCAATTAGCGATGGGAACAAGAGAGCCATCGGGAGTTGTATGGGTTCCTTAGTGAAGCTAATGGAGATGCCAAAGCCGGCGGGAGTTCAGGAAGCGGCAGTGGGAGCCCTGGCATCTCTTTTGATTGTCCGATCAAATCGGAAAGAGTTAATGAGGGACGAGAAGAGCGTGATGAGATTGATGCAAATGCTCGATTCGAAAAACGAGGTCATCTCCAAGACATTCCCGTTAGCCATCGTCACGGCGGTGCTCTCCGGCGGAAGCAACGGCTGCCGGAGGAGACTTCTAGAAGCTGGAGCTCACCAGCACCTGCAGAATCTGGCCGACATGAACATCGCCGGAGCTAAAAAGGCCCTGCAGCGGCTCACCGGCAATCGGCTGAGAAACATCTTCAGCAGAACCTGGAGGGAATAAACGCAAAAGAAACTAACCGCCGCCGTCAAAGGTAGGCTAATCCAATACGAGGGTAAAATCGGAAACTTACAATAATATCAGGTGTTGACCCTACACTTTAAGCCTTTCCCAGAGATTGACCCAGTAGCATCATTAGGTAGAAAGTCAATGATGCCCCTCCTCATGTGACCGGTTTGTGACGGTCACAGGTTGGGAAACAAACACGACGTCGTTTTATTAGAATCCCCGTAACATTTGTGGACCACTGAATTCCAGTGGGCCCCTTAATCTGACATATAATTTAGTCGTAGGAATTATGAAAACGACAGTCCTATCTTTTCTTTCCTTCTTTATTTTATTTTTGTAGAATAAAAGAATAATAAGTTAATTACTGAATTTATTTCATTTTGATTAACTGTATTTTCAGGGATTTGGAGGATTTCGTTTGGAATTTTCTAACTGCTGAAGTTGAAGGGTTACAACAACAACAACATATGACCGAACCCAACAGCTATTTTCACCTCGTATTATAATGTCTTTTTTTTTTTTAATTAATATTTTTAGAGAAAAAAAAAAGGCAAAAAAAAGAAGAAGAAGAAGAAGAAGAAGAAAGAATCAAGGATGCGGGTTTTAGGGAGTATCCTGGTATGCTTTTTTTCCTTATATTATTAATATTAATTTCACTGATGAAGATTTGTAAGTGACTTGTTCATGCCCATGATTGTCATCTTGTTTGATTGTGTAAATTTCAAGTCAGTTTCTTTCTTTTATTATTTATTGAATTAGGGAAAAAAAAAAGAGGAAGAAAAGTATGTAATGAGAGGTGGGATTTTTGTGTATACTTTTTTGACCAAGAAATGTGTCGGATTATGAATGATGATCTGTGAATCCAAATCCTTTTGTTTTCTTCTGTGTTGGCTGAATGGGTTGTATTCTGTCTGCTCTTGGCTTGCAGAGCCGAATGTGAAGTGGGTATGTGAGATCTCACATCGGTTGGAGAGGAGAACGAAACATTGTTGGTAATGGTGTGGAAACCTCTCCCCAGCATACCGGTTTTAAAAACTTTGAGTAAAGTCCAAAGAGGACAACATCTATTAGTGGTAAACTCGACTCTTACATGATAATAATGATGATAATGATGATGAAGGGTGAAGGATGGAGGGTAGGGAGTTTTCCATCAGATATGGATGGTGGGGCCTTGTGGTTTCCTTCTTCTTCTCATGCTTGTTTATTGTCCCAAACAAAGCTCAGCCCCACAAGTTAGTTAGCCATGGATCTTCTTTTCTTTTTAGTTGGAGGGCAATCATGTTGTGATTTGAAAAGCTTGGGGTTCACTCAGGCTGGCAATCCCATGTGAAGGGGAGTAAGCAAGCAATTATGGGGTTAGATATTGAAGGGTTGTTTTAGGGGTGGAACAAGCTGTGGCTTCAGCCTTGAGAAATATATAAACCCATGGGAGAAATTATGGTTGATGGTTGGATAAGGATAAAGGTTTTTTTTTTTCCTCGCTTTCCAAACTAATCTACAACCGTCCAAATCCTCTAATAGATATTGTCTCAGCGTCTATTATGGAGAAGTTTTCACACTCTTATAAAGAATGTTCGTTACTCTATTCAACTAATGTGGGATCTCACATAATCTTTCATGACCTGACCTTATTACAATTGGATGGTGCGAGATATGGTACGAGATATGTCTGGAGAGCCTTATGCTAAAAAAGGCATATCAATGTGGGGCTTTATACATTGTATATTCACATGGTTGTGGTTGCCAGTTATGGTTCCTTTTTGGATAATCCCATTCCGTGTTTGAGTGTGTTTATTGGGTATTTGGTTGGGAAAAAAGAGGAGGAAAGGAAAGGAAAGGAAAGGAAAGGAAAGGAAAGGAAAGGAAGAGAGTTTTGATATGTCCGAATGTAAAGCTATCATTCATAAGCCAAGCTAAGCTGTAAAGTTCCCCTCAGTGCAGTCAATGCTATACTTTTCTATTGCCTTTTTCTTAGTATACGGACCCAAATTAAGGCTCATAATGCATACATAACAACATGTTTTTTGTTTAGGGTTTAAAACAACTGATACCTTATGGAGTATTAAAAAATTCAATAAGGTACTCTCCCTCGGGGTAAGATGTGCACCCACCACCAAAAATAGGGTACTCGTTCGTAATCTTCTTTGGTATGTAGGTGACCAATTCTAAATATCGCAAATATAACGGTCCATGACTACGCTAGTAGATATTGTTTGTTTTAGCCTGTTATATATCACCGTCAGCCTCACGGATTTAAAACGTGAAAAACATCTATTAGAGAAAGGTTTCCACACTTTTATTTGGAATGTTTCGTTCCCCTCTTTAACCGATATGGGATCTCACAATCCACACCTCTTGTGGGTCTAACGTCTTCGCTAGTCCGCTGTGTTTGGCTTTGATACCATTTATAAACTTAAGCTCAGTGCTAGTAGATATTGTATTGTCCGCTTTAGCCTATTATATATCGACTTTTAGCCTCTTATAAAAAATGGTTTGTTCACTCCGACCAATGTAGGATCTCAAAACAACAATCGTATAATGCACATCCCTTAGAAAAGGGACGTTCAAAATGGTGACAATTGGGTCTGGGTCATAACATATATAACACTCTGGTTTCCAATTCACCTCGAGCACAGCCTTCCCTACCCATCAACTCGATAATTTGTCCCTAACCCTTTAGTGAAATAAAAACATGGGTTATATAACAACACTTTTGATTTGAATTCAAGTTTGAAAAAATCTCCTTTCATGATTTCAATCAAATCTCCTCTTAAATTTACATCCCAAAGTCAATTCTTCTCCAAAACTCACAACGAATGCTTCGCTATAATCTTGTTTTGATGCTCCTTCCACAATTTCTGCTGCTGCAGCAAACTATCATGATTCATCACTTCAAAACTCCGATCATTTCCACTCAATTCGCTTCCCCACGGCACTGCAAATGGATCGTTTTCAATGCCCATATCAACTCCAATCAGAAATGTTGCTGTTTCTGCTCTGAATGTTGGGGCCATCGTGGTTGCTTCATTCAAATTATGACCGCCAAATGTTTGAGTCATTTCCGTCTCTGCTTTGAATGTTGGTGCAACTGTGAATAAATCGCTTGAATCTTGAAGAAATGGGTTGTTGTTGTGATGCTGCTGCTGCGGCGCAAAGGGCTTCACAAACATGTTGTCGCCCACGAACGGCGAGTAGAAATCCGGCCAATTTTGCGGCGCGGTAGCGGATTCCGCCAGAACGAGCTCCCAATCCCCAAGTCTAAATAGGTGTTCTTCCGCTTGAAAACCCTTTTGGTTTTCTTCAAAGAACGCAAAAGTCGGAGACAGAATCGATTCATTACTGAAATCTCCCAACTGGGATTGCTGATAATCGGAGAAGCACTCGCCGTCATACTCGACGGAATTAATATCCCCAAACGAGTTAAAATCAGACCCCCTCTCCGAATTCTTATCCGACGATTCCGATTGTTCGTCGGTGAACTTCACCGTTGGTCCAGAGAGAAAAACCTTCGTCGGCGTCGGCATCAGCGTCGGAGCCGCCGCCGCCGCCGGCGATCGATTTCCATGGCAGGGGAAGGAAGCATGATCTTTCAAAAACTCCTGCAATGTCGCGACTAACTCATCGGAAGGCTGTTGAACACTCGGATATTCCGAGGTTCTTCCAACCCCAATACTTTTACACACATCATAAAAAGAACCCAATTCCTCAAATTGCTTCGCGGCTTTCACGCACGCATGAAACGCATTAACACAGGATTGGTACTGCAAATGGAAGAAGCTATCCAAGAGAAGCGCAAGCCCATCGGAGATATCTCTGTATAAATCGAAGCTCTCTTGAACGACGGCGTGAAGCGAATGTTGAATCAATCGATTCCTCTTCGCCGATCCGGTGGGTCTAGTGGCGATTGCTCTGTCCAGTAATTTCTGCCAGTAAGAAATCCGATCAATTAACATCGTCGGCTTCATATCCCGAATCGGCTCGTTCATCCGTCGGCTAGTCTTCCCTTGAGTGTATCGCTTTTGAAGCTTCCCGTTAAGAAAGCAATCGAGGCGTTCGTCGAGATACAGAGCAAAGGTTCGAACAAAAGCGGTGTAATCCCACGGATTGGAATTTGAATCGTCGCGGAAATTGGAGAGGTTAAGGATTTTAGCGCCGCGTTTCATGGCGAGGAGAACTTCGCGGGGGAAAATCGGGTCGCCTTCTTGGAAGATACGGAAGACGAGGTTGAGAGATTTGAGGGCCACGATCCAATTACGGGTTCTGGTAATGCGTTTGGCGATGGAATGAACACAGACGGCGGCGTGGGATTTGTTGGAGGAGATGAAGAGGAGGATTTCCGCCAGGTAACGGTGGTCGAGAGGGACGTCGTCGTGAGTGGTGGCTTTGAGGATGGTGACTTCCAAGGAGGTAGCATTGGGGCCGCTGCCGGAGGCGGAGACTTTGGCAAGGCTGATGCTGGTTTGATCTTTCACGGCGTAGATGGCCTTCCTTAACTTGCTGGGCATGGCTGACACCACCGAGTATTTTTAAAAAATTGTCCGACCAAGCTGCAACGACAAACCGATTTTGACACTATTACAAACATCATTTTTTCTATTTGAATGGATGTTTTATTATTAAGAGACCGTTACACCGTGGAAGGTTTGTGAAGGTGAGCCATGTTCGGAAATGGAGGGTTGACTAAGTTTTTTTTTTTTGGTTTGGAATGGGAGGGATAAGTAGCTTAGAATGTATTCCATCTGTCCCAACCAATAATTTATAAATGATTTCAATCCTAGGTTTTAGATCTTTTGTTTACTTTGAGGTTATATAAAGTCATGTTTTGGTCAAAAGCTAAGTTGAATCATTCAACCTTGACTTAATGGAAGATTGATTTGATTACCGAGAACATATTATATTTCAGAAATTATACTAAATAAATTTTGAATAAAGTTTTAATTTTATATTTAATGGATTGTTGACCATTAAATAAAAAAGTTTACAAACTAAATTTAAAATTAACTATCATTATCACCAAACAATTGGATTACAAAAGAATTCTCTCATACTCCTTAACACCAAACATAAAAATTAACCTTTTTTTTTCTCTCTCTGTTGTCCCTTCAACTTCAATTCCCTGTTGGGAATTCACAGCTCCCATACTCTGCACACACAAAAATACACCAATAATTAAAAACACTAGAAATTTGTTTAAACCCGCTCGAAATTTCAGACTGATTGAGTTAGTGACCTAAACGATCTCAATAGGGTTCACATCCAATCAAACTCATGAGCCGAATATATTTTATGGTTAGTTGCAGATCCAAATGACCTCAATTAGGGTTCACATCCAAAACCCATGAACCGAATAGAATTTTTAGTTAGTTGCTGTTCCAAACGACCTCAATTCGGGTTCACATCCAAACCCGCGAACCGGATAGACAAAAGAAATCCATTTTTTCTCTTAATTTAAAACCCAATTCAAGAAGAGACCAAATTGAATTTTTATCAGTTTTTAGAAACCAAAATTTATAATTTAAAATAGGTAAAATAATATTTGAGTAAAAAGATTAATTAGGGGTTCCCAAAAAGACGGGTCCACGTAAGCAAAACTAAGATTCCCTTTCTCTAATAATGCTCGGCATGTGGGCTGTGAAATTTGGCTTCTTACTGAGCTGGCCTGCACCTCCATCAGTCCACCTCGTGGACCACGTCAGCGCATTAAAAAATGAAAACCAGGCCGGACCCGGTCGGCTCGAGTCGTAGTAAAAACAATAAAAAAAGAGAAAACTATAGAGTACTTACTCGGTTGTTGCGTGACTACGTAAGCCGCCCCTCCAAAGTAACACGTGCCAGTCTTCCGCCCGTTCTTCTGATAATAACTATTGAAAGCATACGAAGCATGTGCCTCAAGCGTATTAGGATTGTAACACGTGGCGCCCACTTGGATTGGACGGCAATCCGCCCCTCCTTCACCACAAGCATAATCTAGACTCGCCTGCAGCTTCTCTTTCCCCGCTTCACCACTCGCAACGCACCACGTATTCCCCGATTGACTTTTTGAAACATTCCCATCGCCGTTGACTGGTCCGGACTTCCCGTCGCCACCGGTAGCCGGCGACGGCGACGGCGATGGTTTGTCGTGGTAGTCTTTCAACCCCTCTGTTGTGAAAGGGATATCGTAAACTGATTCTTCGTTAGGGTAAAATAAGCCGTAGTTTCTTTCCGATGTGGGACCGTTCTTTTTGTTTTCGTTGAAAAGGGCGAATAAATAGACGGTCAGATCTGCTTTCGGCCGCAATGGAGTTCCGCCGCCGCTCAAAATCCGCCGGACCAGATTCCCGTTGTATGCGGCGGCGTTTCCGACACTAGCGCCAATCTCGTTCTCGTCGCCTTTAGACGGCCACCCGGTTTCGGTAACCACCATTTTAATGTCGTCATATTTCAGAGCCGACATGGCGGCGAAAACAGCGTCGATTTGAGCGTCAAATAAACTGAAGTAACGGTAACCGCTACCGGCATCCACCACGCCGGGGTTCTCCCGGAAAAGAGCGTAGTCTAAAGAAATCACATCGGAGTTAGACTCGTAAGCGAAAAATGGGTAAGCGTTAACCATCAAATAGGAGCCAGTCTGCCGGAGAAACTCCAGCATTGGACGGAAAACCGATTCGATAAGCTCCGGACGGAATGAACCGGCGGAGGAAGGGTAAGAGTTTTGCAGGGCGCTTAAGGCTATAGGAGAAGAGACCTTAATGGAGGAATGGAGGTTGTATTTAACGAGGGCTTGGTGAATGTTCTTCATGGCCGGAATGAGAAACGACGTCGTGTTATGTGGGTCGACAAAGACTTCGTTGCCGACAGCAATGGCTTCGATTTCCGTGGAAGGGTAGTAGGCGACGATGTTTTTTTCGACCCAAGTATAGGCGAAGGTGAGGCGTTTGGCGGCGGCGAAGAGGAGTTCGTTGGGCAAATCGACGGTGACTTTAATGCCAGAGCCGGAAATGGCTGTGAGAACAGCCGGATCGGTGTCGTAAACTTTAACCCTTTGAAGACCGTGGGATTTGAGGAGGTTAACGACCTTGACGGCGGAAGGGAGATTGTTGGCGATCCTGCCATAGTTGACACCAATGGAACCAGCCTCTGTAACAACAGCAAAGCTTGGGGAGAGGAGGAGGAGGAAGACGAAGAAGAAGGAGAGGGTTAGGCGCTCCATCACTGCGAGTGAGTGAGTGAGTGAGTGAGTGAGTAGAGGAGCGAGTGGGAGAATGAGCGATGGGTTCGTATTTTATTAATGAGAAAGATCAGGATGGGCCCAACCTGTGCACTGCAACACAAATGCCACAAAACTTCCCTCGCAACATTCCTCTATTATTCATGTAATTAGTAAACTAAAAATAACCTCCAAAATTAAACGTGTTTGGCTATGTAAGATAGGGTAGGAATGCCAAATCTATATCTCAAAAATTGTATATGAATTTGGGTGGAGAAAGCATTGGCCTCACCTCAAGGTTTTAAAACCTCGATTCTCCTCTCTAGCCAATGTAGGATATCACAATCCACCTCCTTGGTGGCATAGTGTCCTCACTGGCACACCACAATACCATTTTTGTAGCAACTCACTCCTACCGAGTATTGTTCTCTTTGGGCGTTTCTTTATGGGCTTCCCTTGTAAAGTTTTAAAATGAGTCTGCTAAGGATAGAGAGAGGTTTCCACAACTTTTAAGAAATAGTTTTGTTCTCCTCTCTACCTAACATGGAATCTCACACTTGGGTATTAGGCGGTTACACAAACCTTTCAATGTATTCGAGGACAAAACTAGTAAATTTGAAATCATTCAAAAGATTGCTTCAACGTCTTAAGCTCGAGAACAATGTTGGGTCAAAGGTTTAGGAGTTTTGAAAGGCTATGTTGATTTATCCAACGTAACTATAAGATAATACATGAATTTGACCGATTAAGTTAAATTTTCCAAAATGTAAACTAAATTAAAATTTTATAATATTTGGATCGAAAATATTTGGTCGTGAGTTGAATTATGCATAAATAAACTATTATAGTTTTATATTATTATTCAATTTGTTAAGTAACCAACTACCCATTAAAATAGCGTTTTTAAATATTGACCTTCGATCTAGGCCGTCGAATCTAGCCACGACTGAAATGGAAAAAAACGAACGGTCAAGATCTCTGATCCACAAGCTAATCACACCAGTCCTTTTGTGGCAATTGGGCCCACATAAGACGACCATTTTCCTGGTATTGCTAAAATTTATCATTTTTATATTGTGTAGCGGAGCTGCATCGTTCTCCATGTGACGTCGACGTGAATGGACTCCACGTGGCAGATAAGTTAAAAATATATGCTGATATCAGCCAGGTCAACCGGAGTGAGTGGGACTTGTGAACCAGCGAATCATTACGGTAATTAATGGTTTATTTTTATTTTTGGCCCATGTTTTATGGTTGGCAAGGGAGATTAAATAATAAAATAAAATAGTTTTCTTTGAACGAATCGGTTCAACCAATACTCTTGCGTTTTGCTCGGGCTTCTTTTATTGGACCCGGGTTTTTTCGACCCGTTTGCTCATTTTATACTCTCGGCCCATATTGCAACCAACATCTGAAATTAGGGTTACAAATTCGTACCCTTCGACTCCTTCCTTCGCCTCCATAAATATCGACCCACGTTCTTCTTCTTCCTCACATTTCTGTAGCTGAATTCGTCTATGGTTCCGAGTTCTCCGATGTTCGTCCTGGCAATTTCCTTTTGTAGTTTTAGGGTTTAATTTTGTGTTAGAAGTTCATCTGTGTGAGCGTTCCGATGAAGAAGCACTCCCAAAATTGATAGGAAGTGCCGTATGACACTCCAAATCGCAGCGAGAAGCCATGGATGCGACTGTTGGCTCCCATCAGCCAGTGGCTTCCGACGCCGATCCGTTTCTACTTTGGAGCGGGCTGGTTGTTGGATCATTATGCTGTTTGGGAATTTTCGGCCGTTTTCTGTGATTCTCCTGTTTGGTTGATTTGAAACGGGTCGCTGAGGATAATGTGATATTCTTTCATTCTTCTTGTTTTGAAGGTTCGATGCCACGTCGTCGAGAGCTCAATGGCGGTGACCGACGATGCTATGATTGAACCAAAACCAAAATTTTCACATCTTGATAGGAATCTGTTCATCTTTTTCCATAGATTTACAGAGCCGTTTTGTGTGATTACAATTTTTTTAAAAAAGAACTCATCTCATCTTTCTCATACCCTGATTTTATCTCAACAAATCAACAACTTTTCCCAGATCTGAGATTTTTTTTTATTATTATTATTTATTTCGAAAGCCAATGAGGATTTGTTCTTTTAGTTGGAATTACCGGCTGAATTTTCTTGATGTCAAATAGACTGCTATCTGAGGCTTTGAAGATTTGTTATGTTCTTATTTTTGTTTCTTAAGATTAGTAGTTGAAATTTCATTACGTAGATTGATTTTATAAGAATCCTAAAATATTCACCATCTAATTTATAGTCTAGTTTTTCTTTATACAAATTTGTTTTATGTCTTTTTTAATTTTTAAGATCTTTTAATTGATAGTACTTCGGAATTTTAATTTTTTATCAAAGTTTTTTCATAATTGGCGAAAGATCTTTTTAATTGTACTACATAAAAATTCCATTTACATACAAAGAAGTAAATTTCATGAAAAACGAAACAAACAATATATCGATCAATAAAAGATTTTATAATGATTTAATGGTAGTAAACTTAAATTTTATTTGACAAAATATGTTAAATTTCAAAATTTAAATACAAAATACAAGCGGTTCCATCTGCAGCCTAAAAAATCACGTGGGATGAAAAGCCATAAACCAAGAGGCACAAATTGGAGCCCCCATTGGAAGAATAGGTTAGGATAGTTTATTCAGTTTCTGTATCAGGACCAACGTATAAAGTCCAACACTGAGAGATAAGGATAAGTATGATTCCAAATATTTGACCGTAAGGTGCCACTCGTAGTATTCCAAAATGCCATATTTGCACCAATGCAGCCTGTGGAAGTATTCAAGGATTCACTATAAGTTTGGGCGACCAATCAGAAGACACCAACACCATGAACGAACAAAGACAACTTGTAAAATGTATGTACCTCCATGAAAATAATGTTGCAAACTTTACTTGTTTTCTCGAGTTGAAGTCCCCGAGCCCAACAAACCTTCATTTAAGTTGTGGACATAAATTGTTAGCAGCATTTCTTGATCGACCCGATTGCTTAATGAATATGCATATTCTTGTAGGTTTTGGAATTACCTCGGCCAAGAAGGCAAGCAGACCAAGAACTAGCATCAATATAAATGAACGAAGATTTGGCAGCACCAGAGTCTGTTTCAGCATTGATATGGTTCATAAAAGTAGTTCATAAAACTCAAATTCCAACGACAGGATTTAACTATTTTTGTACATGGATCACCTCAAAGACTACTGAACATATTCCAGTGACAGGACAAGCCAGCATGCCGAAAGATAAAACTGTAACCCTGCAAGGTTGAGAACAGGATTTCCTGTCAATCTGGTCATGGTCAATGCATATCAACAGAGGAAACCGCAAGCAACCTATTGCAGTTCAATGTTTTTTTTTATTTTTTTTTCCCGGATTTATGAACTAATCCAGTTTTGTGGGATATGAAAATTATATAGCAGGCTTTTGAAGCTCATGTTCAGTATCTTAAGCCTAGTAACAAATCTTAAGCAGAATAAGTGTGGAGAGCATAGGAAGCCTAGATTTAAAAGTTCAGTTATAGGAACATTGAGTTTACGTACTGTGGGGGGTTATTAATCAGTGAGTTACGCTGTTAGGCACATGAAATCCTCATCCAAACATGTTCCGAGTGCAGGTTTCATAAGCTAGTTTGTGTTGATTCCAATGAGAAGGATCCCTAAGATTGATACAATAGCCTAAAATCCTACAGACACAAAAAAAGACCCCTGGAGAGCAAAAATCCTAATCAATCCGGATTTATTATTTTCTTTAGACCTAAAATTTGTATAGAAAAGGCGTGCGTGTAGGAATGACAAATGTTAAACATCAAAATTGCATGTGTAATGAGAACCTCTTTTGGTATTCTGAGTATGCAGAAGGAAATCTTACACTGGTTGATCAGATGCTTTTGCACTAGCCCTTATAAGGCAGAAGCTAATTCCACCAGCTATTGATGTAAGAAGACCAATTAATAATGAATACACACGATGACTTCCCAGGATTGTGATTCCTTTTTCGCCTTCAGTTAACCCTTCAAATAAGGTAATGTAATAGTTGAAGTGTAAGAGAAACTACAACTCGTTCCATTACATGCTCGAGCTAAAGGCAACTGTGAGTATTGATGAATGTTTACCTGCCTTATAAGGAAACAAATGAAGATTCAATATGAAGGAAATAAATAATGGTATTAGCCACCAGTAGCTTAAACAGACGGTCAACATGTATCTCTCTTGTTGAGTTGCACAAACTTTAACAGCAAAAGAGAATAAAAAAAGTGTGTTTTGGGTGGAGGTGTGGAGGATCCTATTAGTGTTTGAGCATAGAACTATCTAAATAGCTATTTTGAAGGGTAAGTTAACTCACTTCGGTACCTTGACTAGTGAATATTTCTTGGAATAGTAGTAGAACACCCAAAAAACTGCAAGCAAGACCTGAAATGAGAGAGTACCCAGAAAGAAATCACTTTTTAGCTCCACGAAACACATTTCAGATTTTTTTAAAAAATAAAAAATAAAAAAATAAACTGAAAGGAAGAAATGAAATGCATTAACTAGCGTCTATAAATAACAGAGAAGCTTTATCATGTTGACACTTTTCTATATAACAGAGGTGCTGAAAACTCCACTCCTACTTTTGCTCACCGCCTACCCTCCACTGATCCTTTGCGGGATTTGCCTACCCCGAGTCTAGCTCCAACAGCAAGGATTTTATCAAGTTGTAAATTTTTTAGTTTGAAGAAGGATTAAACCACAATCTAGAAAGGTATCTTCAAACATCCCAAGCCCTTACCACTGGGGCACCCCTTGCAGTAACTATCATGCTTAATGTTGTTAAATATTAATGAACTTTACTAAACCAAAGAGGACTTCACATGTCGTACTTTAAGTTAATAAATTAACACATTCTAGAAGATAAAACAGTGATCATATGAATTTCAATAAAATCAAACTCATGTAGGGAGAAAAACCAAAATTGGGTTCCATTTTTTTTTTTTTAATCAATCTCATCAGCTGTTTCAATGGAATAATTCAAATATAATGAAGGGTATATTACTAATCAATGTGTAACATCTTTTCACATCATGATGCATTCTTTGGAGGGTAGAAAATGAAAATTAATCAAATGCATACCCCCAAAGTCTGAAAATTTTAACTTTTCGTGTAAAATAAACCTTGCCATAACTGAAGCCAATATTGGAGTAATAAAGCTCAATACAATTGCCTGAGACAAAGGCAGGCTTTGAATGCTGAAAAAAAAACAAATAAAAGAAACAGTTTATATTCAGTAAAGCTCCAAAATCTCAGAAACAAAAGGCAAGATTAGCAAATCAACACTGGATGGTTGCCTGGTGGAACTGGAGACAGAGTAATAACTTTCAATTGGAAAGGTACATAGTAATAGTAATTATATCAGAAATTTTTTTTTAAACTATGCCCCAGACAAGGCCATAAGTTGTGGGATGTCAGGTAGTTTTCACAAAATGTAATGAAATTGCATGCAATCATTTTTAAAGGAAAATAGCAAATAAAGGATCTACTTGGTTGTCTTTAAACTCCAAGACCATATGATGATCAAGGCACTAGATGATGACTCCAATAGCAATGATGTCTTGCAATATAAAAAGTATTGGAGTAAATTTATCACAACCATACAAGAAACGTATTTTACATTTGATAGAAAACAACCCACTGTATGAATCAACAAAGAGGAAAAAAGGAGGGGTAAGACGTCACCCATGACCATGGACATGGAGTAATAAAAGACTTCCTAAATGACATCCATAATAAAAGTGGACTAACTAAAAAATAACCTGTTAAAAGAGCTCCAACTTGAGGCTACAGTTTGAACCAGTCCATAAAAATCCTCCTAAAAATATCATTAAAAACTCCACTGTTCCTTTTAATACAAAGATACCAAATTGTATGCAAACAATTCTTTAAATACCCACACTGGAATTGAGCTTTATTTGCCATAAAAAAACAGGACTAGCGTAATATACCTGTAAATAAAACCCATCAATGAGATAAGTCCGGATAGAGCACGAGCAACCAGAAGCTTATTAACATGTGTCTGTCCAAACATTGGTTGGTCGTTCCTCCTCAACCACAAATACGATAGTATTGTAATAATTGTACATCTTGAAAAAGCCATTTCAAGAATTGGTATAGACTGAGCTGCCAAAACAAGTGGAAACGAATAACAACACAATACTAAAACTCACCCGGAAAAAGAAGAACATCTATCAATTGGTTGGATAAGAAACTTTGTTAATTTCTAAGAAGTAATCACAAACCAGAATATCTAAGAACTAAGAACTAATCACAAACCAAAATCTACTAGAACAGGAAATGACAATTCACGCACTGCGTAAAGCACCGCGTTTCATTATAATATAGAAACATTTCAAAAGTTAGTCGGGAGAAAAATTTACTAACCAGAAAAAATATCCATCAGAACTTCCATGGCAAAGTAAAAGATGGAGGACAGAGAAGCACACAGTAGACCAGAATATCTTGATCCACCCCAAATCCAAATAATAGATTGGGATATTGAAGATGCATCACTTTCATGGAGTTTATTCACCTGCTCCTGCAAATGTACATGAAACAACAATTGTCATGAGATTTCATCAAATTAAACAACTCGAATTTTATTCATCACTGAAAAGAAATGCAGACATTAAATGAAAAAAACAAAAAAAAATGTGACCGGGGCCTTCTTGGTGCAAAGACTTCGATTAACAATATGTGTTCCAATCTCCTTGCATTGCAGAGTAACCTAACACTACTTCGAAGTCTCTAAAGTGATCATAGATAATCCAAGGAACGGAGAAGACAAACCAAACACAACAAAACAAACGCATAATATGAATATAGAGAAAGAAATATCGAAGTGCGACATGTTAATTGAGAAATCGTATGCCAAAACATCGAGACATTGAATTTCAACATCTCCACAACCAAAATCGGCAGCAACGGATGAACAAAAGATTGAAATTATGAACGGAGAAGTAAGCAGCGTGAGTTATACCGAAGGTTTTCTTCGAGGATATGAAATGGTGAAGATGTTGATCTTGGGCTTTACAATTTGACTGGCGTCGGACATTGTCGGAGGTTCATCCCGGACGATAAGCTCCACCAAATGATCCGTTTCACTGTGGATCTTATCGGACGCCATTCTTGGAGTTTCCGGACGAGGAGAAATTAAGAAAATTTTTACAGATTCAGAGTTCGAACATCGAGAATGACGGATGAACAAAGCAAGGCAGCCACAAGAACAGGCCCCTTAAATTTCTCCCGGCCTTTTTTTTTCCCTCCAAGAATTGCAAATTACTCCTCCTGATTTAGCATCATTATGTATAGATAATTACAAATTACACCCTTCAAATTAATCAAATCGAGTCCAAGCACAATTTACTTTCTTATTTGGTTTACCAACAAACAATATTATTGTCATATAAAAACTATATGATAACATATTAATATTAAAACTATATGATAACATATTAATATTAAAACTATATGATAAAAGTGTTGGGTATTATTATCAATTGTTGAAGCATTTTCAAAATCGTTAAACACCCTACCTCTTTCTCTAATACATTTATTTACTAAATATTATTTAATAATTCTAATGAAAAATAATAATAAATTTTAAAATAACTTTACATCATATTTATTAATATAGATAATATTGTATATTTATTTTCACGCTTCAATGCTTACAAATCATATATCATTAATTAAATAAAAAGTTTGGTCGTAATTTAATTTAAAAATCTCCCATAATCAAATCAACCTGCAATTGTTTAATTAGCATAAACTTTATTGACTAATTTCCACACAAATATATATATATATATATATCAAATTAATTGAATAATATCAAATTAATGGTTTAATATTTAAAAAAAAAAATTGATTTTTTTTATTGATTTCATCTTGCGAACTCAAAAATTAAATAAAAAAATTTTAAAAATTTATAAAATAATTAAAAATATATAATTTCTATAAATGTCACTCTCTTCCAAATAAATAGACTTTAAATAGTTAAAATCTTAAAAGAGTCCAAAAAAAAAAAAAAAGTAATGAGTTAAACAAACAAAACTTCATAAATAATTTATACAAAATTGGCATAATTTTAATAAAGATGAAAAAGGGTGGGAAAAAAAAAAGATTTATAATAATATAATAAAAGTAAAAACAAAATGTTGGAATTATGAATATAACCCCTCCTGGGTGTCGGCCGGACAGGTGGGAACCACCGGTTGGACCCACAAAGATTGGTGTTTTAACTTTGTGCGGCCCGCCACCGTGAATACAGCAGCTGAACCAGGAACCGCCGGTGGCCCTTCTTCCTGCCACCGACAATCCATAAATATTTCCAATTTTATTTTTTATCGTATGTTTTGGCTTTCCATTTTCTACCCATTTAATTTACTGTTTTGCCCCCTCGTAATAAAATAAATATATAATTTTATAAAAAATTTAAGCCCATAAGTTCTTAAGAGTAATAATTATTTTATTACATCAAATTTGGTATTTGGTATTTTATATTTTTAATTTGATTGTTGTTATTTTCTATACTTTTAATAATATCACTATTGTCTCTATTATTCATTTAATTATAATTTATTGGAAAGATTTCAAATTAATATAAAAAGTCACATATATATATATGATTATATATGATGATGGATGAAGTTGACAACAATGGTGTTATCCTTAATTTAATGATATAAATGTCTACCACATGTCATATTTGTTATAAAGCATACATTAAAATAAAAAAAAATAAAAAAAAAGTCTTCGATAAATATTTATGGTAAATTACATTATTTTTGAAAGTTAGGCTTAATATTTATATTATGAAATTAATAAATTTAAATAGAAAAGAAAAAGAAGAATAAATTTGAAAGGTGGAAAATAATCTGAATATATTATATTAAAGCCATCGGATATAATAATATCAGTGGGATTTATTCTTTTCTTTTTCTTTTTCTTTTTTTATTCACAGATTGAATTATTCCTCTTTTTATAATGTAGCAAATTAAAAGCGATTTTGCAATAATACTAAACGGCGGCGTTTTGGAATCACAAGCTTTTAGGAAATAGCGAAAGTAATTTAGAGCTAATTTGGATTATGTACTATGATTATATAATTAACAAATAAATTTAAGAATGTTATAATTATATAATTAAATGCTAATTTGCGTGAGAATTTCCACAATTAGGGGATATGATTGACACTTGCCTTGTTCTTAAATTGGTGGGGGCCATCTAGCTTTTTTTTTTTTTTTTTTTTTGAATATTAGGTTTAAATTGAATTAAATAATGGCGACAAATAAATATTATTATATATCACGTGAAATAATGCAAGTATGAATTATATTCTATTATTTATTTTATTTCTCTCACCTTTCAAATCAATTTATTAAAATATTATAAAGAATATTGATCCAAACCACGTGAAATCTCACAACCCACATCTCCATGGTCTTTGCTGTTTAAAGCCCATCGCTAGTAGTTGTCAACTTTAAGACACGTCTACTAGGGGAGAGGTTTTTCGTTTCTCTCTCCAACTGACGTGGAATCTCAAAATTCGTTTAATGGGTAGGTCTAATTAATTATAAACTTTAAGGATTAAAATTTATAAATCAAGAATTACAGTGCCATTAGCAAATTATATACCAAAAATAGAAAATGAGCGATTAAAAAGGGGGTTGAATGGTAAATATGAAATTTTGAATGGGGGAAATAAATGTTAGGTAACTGTCTAATCAAAACTACCCGCCCAAAAATCACGGCTCTCTTGTAATTATTATTTTTTTTAATAAATTCAAAATACTGTTATTTAGCATTTTTTAATAATTAAATACAAAATTTAAAGATTTATCAGATATATTTTTTTTTAAGTAGATTATAATTTTACCTGATAAAAACAATTTAGCATTTTTTAATAATTATTTTGGAGTTCTTTTTTACCTCACGTGAGAGTCACGTGCGGATGTCATATCCCCAAGCCCAATTATGCCAAAAAAAACAGAAGCACACCTCAATACTTCAATCAGGTTTAAAGTGTGAGAAAGCGAGTGAAGAGAGAGAGAGAGAGAGAGAGAGAGAGAGAGAGAGAGAAACTCACATTTTCTCTCTCCCATTTCGCTCCCAAAAAGCAAGTTTCAACGGCAAACAACAAGCAGTTCAACTCCGCTAATGGAGGGGGAGACCACGGTGGCGACCATCACAATAATGCAATGCCGCCGACGCGCCGGGCCTCCCAAACCTCCGAGATCTTCCGGCCTCTTGATCTTCCTCTCCTTTTCTGTTCTGTGGAACTTCGCCGCCGGAGCTTTCGATTACGCCGACGCTCTCTCCAAGAGCCTCCTATACTTCGAGTCTCAACGATCGGGAAGACTTCCGTACAACCAGCGCGTCAGCTGGCGAGACCATTCTGGTCTCACCGACGGCCTGGAACAAGGAGTCAGTTCCTCAAACTTCTCAATGATTGCTCTGTTTTCGGTTTTTTAGAGCATCGCTTATGGTAATCGATTCGAGTAATTTTCGGTGGTACAGGTGGATTTAGTCGGAGGATACTACGACGCTGGTGATCACGTGAAGTTCGGCCTTCCAATGGCTTTCACCATAACGATGCTGTCATGGAGCGTGATCGAGTACCGGCGAGAAATCGATGCCGCTGGCGAATTAGAGCACGCTCTCGAGGCGATAAAATGGGGAACCGATTACTTCATTAAAGCGCACACTAGCCCCAATGTGCTGTGGGCAGAGGTGAATATCATTCTCAGTTTATCATAATCGCGACTAATCGCATTGTTCCCTAAGCATTTTCCCGCCGAAATTCAGAGTGTCTGGTGTGTGAAATTCACAGGTCGGAGACGGAGATACAGACCATTACTGCTGGCAGAGGCCGGAGGACATGACGACGTCGCGGCAAGCGTATAAAATTGATGAGAGTACCCCAGGGTCAGATCTTGCCGGAGAGACGGCGGCAGCGATGGCAGCAGCGTCGATTGTGTTCAGAAAAATAAACTCACATTACTCGCACCTCCTGCTCCATCACGCGCAACAGGTAACAGAAGTTGAACAGAGTTAATTACGTTGTTAGAGGAGGCAGTTGATTGAAAACGAAATTAAACTGACTGAATTTGGAAATTTGGATGTGAAATAGTTGTTTGAATTTGGGGATAAATTCAGAGGTAAATACGACGGAAGTGTGGGAATAGTGAAGAGCTACTATGCGTCGGTGAGTGGGTATAAAGATGAACTGCTGTGGGCTGCGCTGTGGCTGTATGAGGCCACCGACAACAAACAGTATTTGGAGTACGTCGTCAACAAGGCTCATTGCTTCGGTGGCATTGGATGGGCCATTTCCGAGTTCAGCTGGGATGTCAAGTATGCTGGCGTCCAACTCATGGCCTCCAAGGTAAATTCTCTTTATTCTTGGTTCTTTTCATTTCACTTTCTTGCTCAACCATTATAGCCTCGACCAATAAGTTATAAGTCTAAATCATTAGAAGAGAGTTGATTAAAAATTCATTTCAATTAGTATTACCATACTTCTTTCTGTAATTTCTTATAGTTTGTATGTTTTTCCTGCATTAAGTTGACCCATTAAAAGTTAGTAGAATCTTATGCTAACCGTGTGTGAGTACTTATTTTTTATTTTATTTTTTGTGGGTCATGAGTTTTGAAGTTAATCCCAGTAAAAGTTAAGTTTTATTCTTTCCTTCCTCCTATGAAAAGTAAAATTTTGTTTGAAAATAAAGGTTATAGAAGACCTATAAAATTTGAAGTTTGTTTGATAAGTTTTTGTTGTTAACTCACAATTGTAAACTTAACCAAAGTTAGCCTATGATATGTAACCTTTAAATAAGTTATATGAGCTTTGAAGAAGTTAATAGAAAAGAATAATAGAAGATTTATTAAGACTAAAAGTTGAATGGTTCTTAACAATAATCCATAGAAATAGATTTGAAAATTAGAATTTAGTTTATATGGTGTTTATGCTTTTTAGAAAGCTAAAAGTTAAGTCTAATTAGTATTAGTAATGTTGAAAGTGTGATAAAAACCTACCTAATTATAAAAAATTTATTAAACCATGTGAACTGAACTCCTTGTGAGGACGAATTTAGGTTAGAAAGTGACAATAAGATAGGGATTGGAGGAGGAATTAATGTTTAATGGGGAGTGGGATCTTTTCTGAGGATTTTGTCTTTGATTAAGGAGTGTAAGGGCTGATAAATGGAATAAGTGAAGGGAGGGGAAATCTGGGCGTCTCTCACCGTTTTTAAAGCTTTTGGTCACGTCAGAGTGGAGTGGCCCCTAATTAAAGGACCCACCGGACAGCAAGGGGTAAAGTTTTAGAGTGTGAGTCATGTTGGATGGAGCACAAGGCCACGTGCATCCGATACCACAGCAATTAATGTGCCTTCTGCCTACTCAACCCCCTCCACGTGTCCCTTTTCATTTCCTTTCTCTCCATCTCCCTAGGATCACACAGCTCATTATCCTTCAAAAAAAAAAAAAAAAAAAAAAAAAAAAAAAAAAAAAAAAAAAAAAAAAAAAAAAAAAAAGGGTCTCTTTACTCTTTACTCCTTAATCTTTGTGTTCTCTTTCTCATTTTAGTCCCTGCTGTTTAAATGTTTTCAGTTTAGTCCTTTTAAGTGCATTTCTAATTAGTTACCAAATCACAAGGTTAGAAAATTGAATTATTAATGTTGAGAATAATTTGGAAAAGAGTTCCACGATAATAAATCTATGTTGATATGGAGTTTTTTTTAGAAATTAAAAGCAAGATTATGAGAATTTATGTTGAAAGTAGACCATATCATTTTAATATGAGGTTAATGATTTCTAGCAAATAATTTACGGATATTATATTTTTTTCATTATACTTTCTGGTGAACCTTTAGCTTAGGACCCGCCCATCCTAAGAAAATAGTGAATAGTGGTTAAATTTTAAGTTAGTTTCTTAGAATATGAAGGGTGTTTTAGCTAACTTTTTTAGCTACTTTTTGCTTTTACTATATTAATTGTTCATTTAAATTTCTACTAACTTACTGATCATTGTTCTAAATATATCAAAGTTCAAAAGTTAATAATTATAAATTTCTAAGTCAAAACTTCCACAAGAACAAGGAGTAAATTGAAAAAATTAATTACTTTTTTTTTTTTTTTTTTTTTTTTTTTTTTTTTTTTTTTTTTTTTTTTTTTTTTTTTTGTCTCTGTTTAGTTGCTNATGCAGGGGAGGCATAATAGCAACGAGCAAGCCAAAATTCTGGAGAAGTACAAATCAAAAGCAGAGTTTTACCTCTGCACACTCCTCAACAAGAACAATGTCAGCAACGTCGAGCGAACTCCCGCCGGCCTTCTATTCATCCGCCAATGGAACAACATGCAATACGTCACTACGGCGTCGTTTCTCCTCACCGTCTACTCCGATTACCTCCGCCGCTCCAACCACCACCTCAATTGCCACACCGGCCCCGTCTCTCACGAAGACCTCTTCAAATTCGCAAAACAACAAGTGGATTATATCCTCGGCGCTAACCCTAACAACATGAGCTATTTGGTCGGGTTCGGCCCCAAATTTCCTACAAGGGTTCACCACAGAGGAGCCTCGATCTTGTCGTACAGAGAAAACAAAGCATTCATCGGGTGTACTCAGGGGTATGATAACTGGTACGGTCGGGAAGACCCGAATCCGAACGTCCTCGTTGGAGCGGTGGTGGGCGGCCCCGATTGCGAAGACAAGTTTGGCGACGAGAGAGGGAATTATATGCAGACGGAGGCCTGCACCTACAATACGGCGCCGTTGGTCGGCATTTTTGCCAAGTTGTCGCAGCTTGAAGAATCGGATCCGGGTCGAACCCGGGAAGACCCGGTTCTGTATACTTCATCTTGAAAAGAAAAAAAAGAAAAAAAAAAAAAAGGTAATATTATTATAAAATATATTGATAGACATGTGTGGGAAATGGGAATTTAATTTTGGGTGAAAAAAGAAAAAGAGAGTGTTTTTTAATAGGTGGCTGAAATTAAGGAGTTGGAAGCCCCTGCTTTTTCTTTTGTAGCTTCTTCATTTATGTTTGTTATATAATTCATATAGTAAAGGTAAAAGCTCCCTATCTCCTGGATTTGCTTTTGCCTCTCTTCATCTTTATTCTTCTGTATTTGAATAATATTTCTCATTTATTCCTTTCGTATGTGAGTCGTAGAACAGTGGTAGGACAATTAGGTGAATTTGGGCTTCACCCCACCTCCATTCGTGTTTCATTTTGTCTTATTACTTGGTTTCTCTTTCCATCCAATTTCTCCACTTTCTAACGTCTTCTTATGTACTACAATTATCCTTCGGAAAACAAAATCTTCCATACTAATGGATTCGGTTCCATACAAGATCTTCGTAACACTTACTAATGAGGCCCTATCGATTAGTATTATGCATAAGAAATCAATTATAGACTCTAATGTAATTAGATCCGCTCTTCATAGACAGACTTGGGATTTGCGGTCGCACAAAATGTACTTCTAAGTAATTGCTCCACAGATCCTATAGATAGATATGAGGCGATTTGGGAAGCTCAAAGCAAATCCATGAGGGCTTATGTTCAAATGAGAACATGTCATACCATTGTGGAGTATCATGAATTAATAGATTCGAGAAAATTCGAGAAAAAGATAACGAAACTAATTATGAATATCATGAATCAATAGATGAAATATGCTCCGTTCCCGGGTATTAAAAGGTAGTGTCGATGTGCAATAATTGAAAAATGGAACAATTTGGAATATGTGAGTTTTTGAATGATAATATGTCCATGGTAAACACTAAAAACATCTTCTTCTTCAAACCCTCTTTTCTCTTTGCATTTCTCCCATTACTGTAACGGTCACTTCCTCCGTTCCCTCTTAAACCCTCCATTTTCTCTCTCTCTAAAACGCCTCTCTCCTACCAATGCCGATCAATTTCGCTCTCTTCCTCCTCATTGTCCCGATTCTCTGCAGCGCGGCGGAGCCCCAGCATCCGTCGATCAAAGGCCAAGGCGGCGCGACGGAGCTCTGGTGCGTGGCCAAAAACAACGCCGACGACGCCTCTCTGCAATCCGCACTCGACTGGGCCTGCGGCGCTGGCGGAGCCGACTGTTCCCCAATCCAGCCCAGTGGCGCCTGCTACGACGCCTCCAATGTCCAGAACATGGCCTCCTTCGCCTTCAACGACTACTTCCTCAAACACGGCATGACTGACGACAGTTGCTTCTTCCAAAACTCCGCCGCTGTCACTTCCTTAAACCCTAGTCAGTTTCTTATCCCTCCCGATCTCTCAAATTCTCCACCGAATCTTTGTTTTTCTTTCCAGATCTGTAACTGAATCGCTCATTGATTTGATCATTCTTGTTTCAGGCTATGGAAATTGCAGATTCCCATCTAGGTAAAAACTTTCTCCATGATCTTTAAACATCCTGTTTCGATTTAGGGAACAATTAATGTCCGTAATCAAGAAATTAATCATCAACCGTCAACGAATCTACGACTTTTAAAGCCTTTTTTCCAGTTTTAAAGTGATTGATTTCTCTCATTTATGGCGCAGTTCGTTGAGAAATGGGAACTTTTCAAGCCAATCCACATCCGTAGGGCTGGGGCCAAGCGAAGACCTAAGCGGATCGGGTCGAAGATCGAGTCGGATATGGGTTTGGCCCATAGCAATCGGGTATTTGTTCTTTAAAATTATGTTTCTGATATAAAACTTAATCTAGTTTTGTTGTGTTTAATTAGATTGATTGTCATTTCTGATTGGTGAGTTTGTGTATTTATGTTTGAATTTTGTTTTTATTGAGCAAATATTGGTAAATTAGATGCCTTAAATTGATTAAAATTTTAAAAATTATTAGTTGAAATCTCGGGTTTAATAATACTCATGATTCTGAACATAAAAGTAAATATCAATTAGGGTTTAGGAGTGACCAAACAAGATAAACCAATCGATCAAACTGACGTCAATCAATTGATATATCCAAAGTTTAAGTCGAAAACACCAAAACCCTCATATTTTGATGAAAAGAGTTGTTGTTCGTATCATTTTTTTAAAGAAACGAGCATTTTGACTTTCTCAGGCTGTTGTTGCGTTTGCGACAACATTAATGTTGTAGAATCAACACGCTGAGAAAACTATCGTCGATCAATCAGTCGGCTGCCCGACATTACAAGAAATATTTTTTATAAAGGTACGTGACAGGCCAAAATAGACAATATTTGATAGCAACTTTGACAGTTACACAATTTTAGTCAAAAGCCACATGTATAGAGCTTGGATTTTTTTTTTTTTATGAAGTATATATATTTATCACTCATTTAAATATAATAAAATATTTGAAATAATTAAGAGAAAAATGTAATTAAGAAAGAAAAAATAATCTCTTTACATTGACATTTGCTGCCTCTCCAAGTCTTGAACGTCGTCGTTTCCATTTTCGCGAACACAAGGTTGAATTCTTCTTGAAGACCTTTCTCTACTTAGAATCCGTCCAAATGAACTCAATCGGGAGCTTGACCCACCGCCGCTCTCCGCCACCGGAGCCTCCCGGGGTTCCGGCCGAATCATCGGCGCCGCCTCCGTCCGGCAAATTGGACACGTGGAATGCAACCCAAACCATTTATCAATACATTCCAAATGGAAAGTATGTTTACAATTGGGTAAAACTCTCGCTTCCTCGCCGTTCTCGACGGCGCACAAACACACGGCGCACTCTACGGCAGCTGGGTTTTCCAATTGGTGTTTGAAAACGACGACTGGCAGAGACGCCATGACCAGGGGGTCGAGGCCGGAGTGCCGCGGCGGTGGCGGAAGGTCGCTGGAGACAACGAGGGCGAGGATTCCACGGCGGCGAAGAACGGCTTGGCGTCGGGCGTGACGACGGAGGGCGTAACGGGCGTAAATGTGAAGGGCAATGACCAAAAGAACGACAAGAGAAAGGGAAATGATGGCGCTGAGCATAATTCTGTTGTTTAAATTGTATGGGTGGTTTCGGTTAGAGCGGTGATCCACCCAAAAGGGGGAGTCGCCGGCGTCGAAGGAGGAGGCGGACATGGGGTCTGCCTCTGATTGTAGTGAGAGAAAGAAGAGAGAGAAGGAGAGGAAGAGAAATTAAAATGGGAATTTGCAGAAAAGAAAGGGAATATAATGGGGATTCGATGTTGGTGTTAAGTGTGAAAGAGAAATTAAAATGGAAATGAAAATTCTTGGAGAAGAAATAAGGGAACTGCCAAACATTGATCAAGACCTCTGTGTTTCCTTTTATTTTTCAATTAAGTTGACTGTTGAACGTTGACTTCTCTCACGTCTCATTTTTTAATAAATAAAATAAAAATTCTAAAACAATAATTAATGGGTGAAATTATAATTTTCAATTTTTTTGTGTATTATTATTTTAGGGTTAAATAGAAACTAATGGGTAAAAAAATAAATAAATAAAATAAGTAAAAAACCGTCACATGGAGTAGATTGCAAATAATAAAAAGAGGAGGGGTCGGAAAAGGAAAAAAAAAAAAAAAGAAAGTTGAAATTATTGCAATTATTGGAGAGTTTTGTTGTTGGTTGCTTCCCATTTCCCTTTAAAAAAACCAAGAAAGTCGAAACTCGGTTTACTTTGATTGTTCTGTTACGTATAAAATAAACAATGTTTATTTTCAATAAAATATTCAACTTTTAAATGTTAACAAATATTTTATATATTTAAATAAGAAATAAATAAAAAATTCAATGATTAAAAGAGATATATTTTATACCATAATAATATAAAACTTGTATTTTACGAAGATAATTAAATATTAAGGGTAAGTTATGATAAAGTTTTTTTTTTAAAAAATTTAATATTCAAAGACATTATTAAATTTTTTAATAGGTTATATCTAAAATATAATTGAGTGGTATTTTATAATTTAAAAATGTATGGAAGTCAAAGAAGGAGATTAATTTCATTTGTCCATTTGCGTTTAATTTTTAATTTTATTTATAAAACACGCCTTTGAAACTTAGCTATGGCTATGTTTAAAAAACATTAGCATAATTTGTAGGCTAAATATTCATTAATTTTTATTTTTATTTTTAAATTTAGTATATGATTTTCTTTTTTCAATTATACAAATTATTAATAGAAACCTATATAGAAACTAGTTGATAGATAATTTCAAAATAGAATCTATCGAAAATAGTAGCAATAAAAATAGAATTATATTTTATATTTTTAAATATGTGCTTAATAACCAATTTAGAAACTCAATTACAGTTAAAAAATTATTAATATATATATATATTATAATATATTTATAGACCATATAATTAGTTATAGTTGCAACTAATTATTACCTTAAATATAAATTATTATTTGATGAAACTTTAATCTTCCACGTTCATACAATTATACTTGTACTTAAAAGCTCTAATCATATTCGCCAGAATAAAAATATATATATATAATGAAATTTTAAAATAATTAATAACTAATTGGACAAAAAAAACGAAATCAACTAAATAAAAGTGACAAGATTTGTGGAAAGAAATTAAAATAAAATTACAAAAAAAAATTAATTAAAAAAGGAAGAAAAAATTAAATGAAATTAAAAAGACATAACAACTAAAATTTGGACTAAAGAAACAAAAAAAAATGTAAATTACAAAATTGAGCTTAACGAGGAAGGAGGAGGGTTTTTTAAGTTTGAATTTTATTCCAAATGGCCCATTCTTTTATGTAATATTTAAATATTAGAAATCCTATAAATAATAAATAGGGAATCCGTTTCTTTCCCTTTCTTCTTCTTTACATTAATATTTCATTAATTTCAGGGTTGGGGAATTTCTGGGATGACTTACCATTTACCATTTTCCGTTTGACCGTAGATAATAATTATTATTATTATTTTTAAAACTCAATTAAATAAAAATAAAATAAAATTTTAAAATAGTTAAATGTTAATGAAAAATATCATAATTAGATAGTTAATTATTCATAATTTTTTTTTCTTTGTTTAAATAGTTAACTTCCTACCAAAAAGATTTATTAATACTAAATTACAAGGTCAATTTTTAAACTCACCCAAATTATAACATTTACAAAAAGAAACTAAGTTGAAAGTCAAATTCATAAAGTTCTTGTCAAACATACTTAATCAAAGTAATTAAATGTAAGAAGAAACTGAATTCCAATAACGTATAATTTTAAAATTTGACAAATAGAATTTATAAACAAGAAAAAATACTCGTGAAAAAAATAAAGAGTTTTAATATTGTAGGGCTTTACCCCAAAGGGAGCCCTTTCAGAGAACCCAGGCCTACGAGGGGGTTTGGAAGTAGTTCTCAACCAGCAATTGACGCGCCTCGGTTAGACCATCACTAGCTGCGTCATTGCCCCAAGCGCAAAGATGAGATTCTGGTGAACCTTCCACTCGCCTTTTATATCCATCCGCGTCAGTCCACCTTCAAATTCTTTTCGATGTGGGACAAAAATCTAAACCCCAATGAGAACGCACCTCTAACCTAAAATCCTTTCATACTCTGTTCCTTAAAATTCTTGAAAATTTTGAGCTTTTTTAGGTTCAAATTTTGTGCGATCTAATAGAGTTTTACCAAATGTTATTGGTCTCAAATTTAATATTTTTTAATTTTGTTCTTTTTATATAAATACAAATGTAACAACGTAGGCGAAGTTTCAACTTTGTCGATGTAGACATGAACTTAATTTTCAAATATTGAAAAATTATCTCTCTAAATTTCTTTCACGTCAAAGGAAGAAAGAGTGGAAAGCCAAAGGAAGAAAGAGTGGAAAGCCAAGGCTCAATGTTTCACCTAATTGTGAAAGAGGAAAATAGTTGGAATCTTCTAGCTCCGTCGCTTTTTCTTGCAATTTTTAAGCCATCTATCGTCTCGTCACACTTAAAAATGGTTATTTTTTTTAAAGTTAAGAGTTTTACAAACGATTTTGATGATAATTTTTATAATTTATTCAAATTTGAGGACTAAAATATAAAATTTTAAATATTGAATGTCAAAGGAGTGAAAAGGGAAAATATAAACAATAATTAATTATAACCATTTCAATAAAAAAAAACAAACGAAAAAATATAAATCAATAAATAATTTAAAAATTCGAATTTTATTACATTATCCATAATCCTTTTAGTAAATTGAAATTGGAATAAAATCAAATCTACCGGTGATAATTCGGAGACGACGAATGACTCCCCGAAACGACGCCGTCTTCCACACCTTCACCTCGAATCCGTGACGGCGTACAGAACTCCGACGGGCCCTCGAATCGGCCGCCGTGCCCCGCCGACTGACGAATCTGATTGCTCCAACCATGCATCGGAACCTGGGAAAACGCCGCCGTCGAATTTTGCTCCATCAATGGTTGCTGCAGCCACAGCCCGGCGTCGCCTCCTTCGTACCCTGCCGGAATCGAATCACCGATGAGCCGTTGGTAATTTCCCGGCGAAGAGTTTGCATTTTGCTCCGACGGAATTAAGCGTGAATCGTGAAAATTATGGAGAGATAGGGCGAGATCTCGAGGTGGGTCAGTGGGTGTCAGAATCAAATCCACCGGATAGCCCTGGAAATTGATGGAAGTGGTGGCAGAGGTCGTCGGAAAGAATGGTTCAAGCGACGGAGCAAAGTGTCCGACGGCGGATTGTAACTCAGTGGACTCTGTTTCCCTTTCCCCTGTTTTCCGATTTGGGTCAGCGAAGCCATGGGCTATAGGGGAATAAGGAGGAAGCTCTCGAAGCTTGTCAATGGCAAATTTCGCCTTCTTGATTAGCCAATCGACGGCTTTACTGGGCCGATCATAACCCAACTGGTCTTGCACGTCGTAGAATCGGATGGCGGTGTGAGCCGACAATCTCACCCGGCGGTCGCGAGGGCCTTTGGCGGTGAAGACCTTGCTATGGCGGTCTTTCCGGGCGGTGGAGCGGATGATATGGCCACCTTGGACCGGAACAATCTCGGCGGCGGCACTGGTTTTCATTTTCCGGAGGAATTTTAATGGTGGGTGTGCTGTGAATTGTGATTCTTCTTATCTTTTGATTGCTGAAAAAGATTGAAACATCAGAATCAAGGAGGGACCAGTGGTAGAATTGGAGGAATTAAATGCGGAAGTTTGTGAAGATGAAAGGGAAGAATCATAGCTTGTAATTAGTGGAGCTTAGAACCTGTGACTGACACAGACATGGCTGACCCTTTTCTACTCCAAAAGTTAATGCCATGCTTACAACAAAATTATTGGATACCAGCTCCACGTAGATTCCAAATTTGGTCAAGTTGTTCTATTTCACCTATCTACTCGGTTCAGCTCCAATTGGACATATTGCTTGAATACACGACTATCAACCATAGCATATTGAGCACCTTGAGCTTGTTTAGCTATCTTATCTACAACCATTTTTATAAATTTCTCTATTCATTTTCCACGAACCCACCGACAAAATCTCATTGGTTTCTTCAAATTCCTCGAACAATTCTTCAGTTGGCTGATCATTTTACTCGGTCGCTCTTGACTACCTAGTGTAAACGTTTTAAAACTTCTTTTTGAATATAAATTTTTTAAGACGTTGAATGAAAAAGTTGATATGATAAATGATCATCGTTCTTTTATTCTTAATTTAGGTAAGCATCTTCATCAGTATCATTTTATTCCACGTCATTATCACGTATTTTTCATGTAACATTCAAACGAGTTTGTATTCCAAAAGGATATCCGTATATAAAAGTTAAAAAGAATAATATTACAAAAGAATAAAATTATTTTGAAACTAATTAATATAATTTAATCTTTAAATTTTATTGGCCTAGTTTGTGGCTATGAATGTAGTGATTGTGAGATGATGTGGCGGCTTCTCATCCAATCTACATCAAATTCAATTTTTGTAAGTTTGCTCCATTTTCTCTCGAAAAAAAAAAACAATTTAAATTAATTATAAATATACGTTTGTGTTTTATCTATTAATATAATTAATATATTTTAAATTATTATCCAATGCCGATAGGCGAACCCGACCTAGGTGGATATGTACGGTTTCGACCAAGATCAAAGCCACTCAATTGCGATACAAGTATTGTAATATCTCTTCTTACCTACCTGTTTTCAATGCAATTGACTTTTACGATACTTAATTTCAACTTGTTATCAACGATTTTTTTTTACCATGTTTTCTAAAACATTTTCTCTCAAAACATAACTCGAGACTCGACCATACGTCAAAATTGATCGCAACGTCTGATTTTTACATGGCTAGCTTGTTTGCTAGACAATACCACACACTGCACAAATGCTAGTCAGGTGCCTAGAAAGTGCAATTCTGACCCGTCATATCACTTTTCTTAAAACAAACAAAAAAATCATTTTAATCAAGAATTCAATTTTTTTTTTTATTGGGTCAACCTCACCAACTCGAAAATAAAGTTTATAACTCACTCGAACCTTACTATACGTTTAACACTGTAATGAAAATTAAGAATATTTGACATTTATAAAAAATATCAGTGATATACATTATGACTCGCGAATATTTAAGTTTTAGGAGCTTTACTTATTAATTTAATATATATAAAATTTCTAAATAATAATAAAAAAAATCAACCACGAAAATGATTTCGGGAGGCAACGCGCGAAAAAATTGATGCTGACGTGGCGAATTCCAATTGGATATATGTAAAAAATTTTGGATTTGGCTCCAAAAACCAAAAAATCGCGGGTTTGAAAAACAAAATCTCCCTCTCCGGTCTTCCCTTCCCCCTTTTTTCCGACCAAAAAATTTTCATTTTCACTCCCAATTCACCAAAATTTCAGATCCAAAACCCAAAATGATTTCCATTCCAATTCCCACCAAAACCTCCAACATTATAACCCCACATTCCCTTCTCCTCCTCCACCACCACCACCACCACCACCACTTCAAGTCTCAATCTCTCTCAATCCTTCATCGTCTTCAATGGAGTTCGCCGCCGTCCGATTCCCCTCCGGCAAGGAGAACCTCCCGCCGCTTTCCCAGAAGCAGTTCCCCCCAAATCCAAAGAAACCCATCACCAGAAAAAGAAGATTGAATCGAAAGCCACTCGCTGATATAACCAATTCCTTTGAAACCTCTGTTCGATTTAGCTTCGTTCAAGATCATTCCAGCTCTGTTGAATCTGTTTGTTTACAGCTTAATTCCAAGAAGAGGAAGGCTGCTGATGAAATTTGTTCTGGAACTGCTAAATCGCTCAGAATGGGATTTAGATAACTTTTTGAATTTGTTTGCTCTTTTTCAATTCTCTTATAGAAATTCATCCCCTCGTTGATTTCTGTTCTTCCCCAGATTATAGAATTTACACCAATTTTGATCTGATTTTGCCTTCTCCTATTCAATTTCTTGGAATTAGAATCGTTTTTTATGCATAATTTGTGTTCTTGGCATTATTAGATTCTGTGATGTCTTATATTAGTTGTAGAGTAGAACAAAACATTCTTGGTAACGGTGTGGAAATCTTTCCTATTTGACAGCATTTTAAAGTCTAGAAAGGAAGCTCGAAAAATAGCTCAAAGAAAAATTTATCTGTTATTAATGGGTTTGAGTCCATATAAATTCAAAGGATAAAATTTGTTAGGAATTGAGAGAAAAATCTCTCATTCTATTGAAAATAAAATGGACTATTATACCGACTAAATCATTAAATAAGTAAATTAATTATATTTTTTAATATATTAATAATAAAATGTGTCTAATATTCATTTCATCGCTAGAAGATATTGTTTGCTTTGGTTCTTTAGATATCTCCGTCAGCCTCACGGTTTCAAAACGAGTCTATTAGAGAGAGGTTTCTAAACTCCAACCAATATGAGATTTCACATTCCACCCCTTTAGGGGCCAGCGCCCTCGCTGACACACCGCTCAGTGTCTGCCTCTTCTGATACTAATTGTAACAATCAAAATTCATTGCTAGAAGATATTGTCTGTTTTGATCAATTACGTATTGCCGTCAGCCTCACGGTTGTAAAAGTTAGATATTCAAATTTTCACATATTAACAGAAAAATAAAAATAAAAAATGAAAAACTTTACATAAAGGGCTTTAAATTATATTCAAATCCGTCTCCACTTATCAGTTAAATACAAATAAATTACATAAAAAAAAAATTGTAGTGTGAATATTTTAAAGAGAGCTTACTAACCCATTAGTCACCTTGTCATTAATTAACCAAATATAGTACACAATAGGAGGCTAGCTTTTTGCCTTTTCTACTCACTACTTTGTATACCGACCATCTTTTTCTAGCTGATGTATAACTTTAGTTATAATTTCAACGATCGTCCTATAGAGTTATAGGTCTCTAATAGTCTCCCGTTCATCCACTCTCAATAATAATCCTTTCACGAGCTTGCTATTTGTCATAGGTTAACTCGTACACGTCGTCGCGTGTCATGTTAGCCACTACTTATTGAACTGGGTTTAACTATCTTCTCTTCATTTCTTTACCGACACTGGAGGCTTCTATCCATACCGCTACCTTGGAAGCTTAGTTAGATCTTGATAAGAACTAAGCTAAAAAAAGCTTTTGGATGTACGTCATGTATATAATATAGTAGTTGATGGTTGATAAGTGGAGTCTGATGAAAAAAGTGGGAAAACCCCCCAAACACATTTGTTTATATAGTTTTATATGATTGTGACCTTTCACATAGTCGTAGGGAACTCTTTGGAGCCAATTTGAGAAAATGGGTCCTCTTTTAGGTCTCTCTCCTACGTCATTAGGGTATACAATTCTTAGAAGCCTTTATATATTTTCTCTTTTAACACATGAACTATTTCGACTCTCGAGTTTGAGAAATAGTCTATAAAAAAATAATAAAAAAGACGGCTAATATAGAGAAAATGCTAAATAAAGATTATATTTTTTTTTCTGAAAAGTTAACGGTCAACTAGTTCGATGGGTCAATTATGAACTTTATTAGAAGTTCAAGGACTTGACTTATAAATTTTAAAACTACGAGGACTAAAATGAAATAAAATCTCTGTGATATATATTTTAACTATCGACTTATTTTGAAGAATAATTTTAATAAACGCGGTCACTTTTACGTAACAATTATAATAATAAAAAGGTGGGCGATTTTATGGGTATATAAAGGAGGAGAAGGGTTCCAATTTCCAGGGAGTTGAGGATAATTGATTGTCTTATTTGTTTTAAACTTTAATTTTTTTTTGGAGATTTTAAGGTTTTGAATTTTATTTTGTGGGAAAGGAATTATGGGAACTACAAGAAAGTCGTTATGGGGGTGGTTTTGTATTATGTTGATTCTTCTGTCTTTTGCAGCTCTGTCGGAATCTCGGATTCTGGTGGTTAAAAAAGAGAGTCTCACGGCGTTCCGACAGCGGCTGATTCAGGTGAACGGTGGAGCTCCTCCCAAAGTGGTCGCCGGGAAATATTATTCGTCGTCAAAACGGTATATCCCCGGCGGACCCGATGCCAAACACCATTAAAGATCATATGTTGCATGATGAAATTACAGTGCTCCCGCCGATCCGGCGGCGGTTTTTTTTCATGCAGAAATGGCAGAGACTGATCGTTATTGCCGTTTTTAGTTAATTCGGTTGCTGCTCTATTTTCGTGTTACTTTTGTGTGTTTCTAATGAATTTTGAGTTATTTTCTAAGGGCCGAAATTATATTTTTTATTTCGTTTGTCAAACATTTACTTTTAATTAGAAATGATTTATTTTTTTAAAATTAAATATTTTATTAGATAACATATACAAATACAATTTACTTATATTCTTCTAAAAAACAATAATATTAAAATAATCAAAATAATATTAATAACTTTTAGTTGCTTATTTTAACCCTAAACAAATTCTAATTAAGTAATTCAAATTTAATAGTGAGTATTGTTATTTTAATTAAATTTAATTACAATATTAATGTTATTTTTGGGATTTTTTAATATCGAAATTAATGTCTCTTGGAATAATTAAGGAAAGAGGGCAAGTTGTGAATTTATGTGGCTAATCGTTTGAAGGAATCTGGATTTTTAAAACGGCATTATTATATTAAAAAAATCACCACAAAAACATTAAAAGATACAAAACCCATGTGGATATCCTATTCATTTTGTCTGTGAGAAAAAGAAAGAGTTCACGACATAAACCTTGCACAATCTTTGTCTTGTCGTGCCACCACCTTTTTCTTTAATCTCTCCCCCTTTTTTCATAATACAAAATCCAACCGCTAATAGTTTTCGAGCTAGATGCTTTTAATAGTATGGTATTGTCTACTTTAAATATATTTTTATGTTTTAATTCTATCG